AAAGGACGTCCTTATCTATATATAGTATATGGATCAGGGTTTTCTTGTTCTACTTAAAAGCCCAAAAAAATTTAATTAAACTTATCTCATAAATTTAATCCATGATATCACATCTAATTCGAATTTATCTTATAAATTCAAATTATAAAACTGACATAATATTCTCTCATATCATGTTAGTTATTAAATTTAATCTATCATATAAAATTAAATTTAAAACTAACATAACATAATATAATATAATATAATATAATATAATATAATATAATATATATCACATATACATATTATATATACACATATATTTTGAAAAAATATATATACAATTATATTTTGAATTTTATATTTCATATAAATATATATATATATTTATCAAATAAATATTCATATATATATATATATATATAATTCATTCACCCTATATTACATATATTAAATCTAGACATATTCTTGATTTAATAAACTTAGACATTATAACTTGAGTTAGGCTGTTCTTATGTGCGACCCTATAGGCCCATATGTAATTGGCAGTAGGCTAATTACACAATTAGCCCACAAGTCACAAGTGGCCTCTAGCAAGACATTGCAACTACCCAATTTACATGGCGATCGATGATCTGATGTAACCTATCATGCAACCATATCACATCACTTTTGTCACACGATATTTTGGTTAAGCATGAGACATGAAATTGTCATTTTTCTTTACCTGACCATTACTTTCTCGATCTCTGAGTGGACTGACAGTAGTAATGAAAAAGCCCTTTCCATTGTAGTATAGACATACATTTTCTCAGTCTTACTCATCAAGGGGCCCAATAATATATCTCATTTAATGTGAGGGACAAATTCCATCTTGTCCACTCACATTCCTCTGCATGAATATCACTAAGCTCAATCATAGCCTTTATGATCACCCGGTTAAAGGTGACTTTTGACTAGGTCAAAATTCAATTGTCATCATGCAGGAATCCATGATGATCTCAAGTCAAAGGGCTTAGTAATATAGTTACATATGAGATAAGCTTATGACTTGTACCGTGCAACTTTTTCATAGTGAGTTGGTCCAGGACCTTGTAATCTTTCAAGTGCCTATCACTTTGATTTGTATCTCTATAATTAATCAAAGTTATACTAATCTTGTTTCATGTATGATCCCTCATAGATGACCAATTAGGGACATTTAGGACAATCACTATAGTTTGTCCAAGGATACAGTTATCATATTGAACACGCAATTGTTATGATAGAAAAAGAGAAATTCATTAAATAACAATGTGCATAGTACAATGATTGGCCCTAGGGCACAATTTCCAACACAAGGCCCAAAAAGTAGCTAATGATAATTGGTTTCAAATTGAGACATTTAAGTAGAAAAATTTTGGCATAAAATGAAAAATACACTTAGGTGTCTAATTTTTGATAGAAATATCAAATTGAGATGAAACTAAAGCCATTAGTTAGATTTCAAAACAAGCTTCATGTTGACATTTGAACCATCTCAATCAGACATCAAATATGAAAATGGCACCGTGCATGTACTCGCATGCCATGGTCAAGGTGTGTGCCTCAAAAACAAGTTTAGGTGTGTGCACTGTGGTGCATGCACTCGCATGCCACGGTGCACAGCACAGAGCAAAATGGCTGTGGTCTCTGTGCCACATGACTGTATGTGGCACAAGCTATGGCACACAGTACTAAATTTTACTTTCTTTTCCTAATTTGCACATGTTTTCTTAATCTTTGATACTCTTAGGCTAAATACTTCCCTGTGTGTGGCATTTTGTAACCCGAGTGATTTATAAAATGATTTTTGGAAATCTTTTCTTGGGATCCCAAAGTTTTCAAAGTAAATGATTTTGATTTGATTAGTAAGATTGTAGTGGAGCGGATGGTAATGTCGGTAAAAGGCATTACACATATAGGCCATGGTTTCCTAGATGTTTAAGGGGAACACAAGTGCTTAACATGTCCATGCACATATGAGATTAGAGAGCAATATTAGAATTATCACCTAAATTGACTTGCAACCTAGAGTACCCTTAACCTCACTTGACCTAATAACTTGTGTTTAGTTTTGTGACAATCTGTCTAGTACGTGACTCATCCTTATTTTCAGCCAAATGCATTTTAGTGAGCTTAGATTAATTTTTCAAATCATTCATTCATATTTTTAGATTTTCAACATCAAGTTCATCAAGTTCTCTCACTTCTCTTTCTACATTACAGTTTCTCTCCTCCATATCTCTCAATCTAACCATCCAAATTCCACAAAAAATATTTCATTCTCTTCCTCTCTTCTTCCTCTACATAACCTAAGAGCTTTCTCAAGGATCAAACCAAGCTTTATTTGGTGATTTTCAAGACAAAAAATCCCATAGAAATAGAGCTTCATCTTGAAGAACACTTAAAGATACAAGGCTAGATTCTTGAAGGAGCTACTATGAGGAGGAGGAAACTTTGAGTTTGTATTATTGTCTAGCTAGTTTTGAATTTCTCTCTCTACTTTCTCTATCTATAATTATAAATCCATATGACTATTTGATTTTGTAATTTCAAGTAATGATTCATATTATTGAAAGATGCTTTCTGCAACTTGAGTTTGGTTATGTTTAAGTGCACAATTTTAGCCTCCTCAAGTTAATTCATAATCTTGGTTAGCTTGATAAGTTTAACATGTTTTCTTGCTTGTCATAATCTTGCCAACTTGAATGCATTTGAATATCTTCATGAATAATAATCTTGAGAATGTTGATTTCTTCATGTGTGCTTGACCTAATTGACTTATGTTTTGGTCGAGCTTCATGCTAGCTAAGTTTTGGCACACTCTAAGACTATAATCTTAGATTAGGGTTGGTCAACAGATTAGCTAAGTCTTGATGAATATAACTAAGTGACTTGAACCAAGGAGAAGAGAGAGAAGACCATACTAACTAGGTTACAATCAAACAAGGATAGGTGACTAAATCCATATAAGAGTTCCTACTTCTAATAGGTTTACATACGCTTACCTCATCCCCTCTAGAATTAGGTTGATTATATAGCTTAATTAGCTTTGAGCTTAAATATATCTAAATCATTCTTCACTTATAACACACTTCAAACCTAAATTTTACAACTAAGTCTCCTCATAAAAGAATGACCTAGGTTCATACTATCACTACACTAGTGTAACTTAGTACTATTTTGCTAAGGTAGCAATAACCTTAGTCACATGGCCCTTCTTCTAGTCATGTTTCTTATAATTTGAAGCAAGTGCTAGTAGTGATGAATTCAAGTGATTGTCTTCCATTGTGTGCTTTCTAATATGTGATTGTTTTCAAATGATTTTAACTAAACAAATCTTAGGTTCCCAAGCATTTTGAGTAATCTTCTTTGTCTTTAGTTTGGCATGTGAATGTGGTGATTGTATCAACCCCTCCTTACACAAGTATAGTGGAGAGATAATAGTTTGGTATAGTGAGAGGTTATAGTCATGCTTATGTGGTCTTCTTTTTAGTACAAGGCAGTTGTACCAGAAGTGTTGATAAAATTCAAGTTATGAATGCATTTCTAGAGATATTTGCAGATGAGATCTCAAGCTTACCATCAAAGTAGGAAGTAGAGTTCTTGATTGATTCGGTACCTTGTATTGAGCCTATTTCAAAGCTCCATGCTGAATGGCTCCTTCTAAATTGGTAGAACTTAAGAAATAGTGTTTCCTTAGGGTTCACCTATCCTATTTAGGAAAATGAAGGATGGTGGCCTTCAGTTGTATATTGATTATATGTAGCTAAATAAGGTGACGATGAAGAATAAGTATCTGCTTTCTTTATTTGTTTGTTTTCTTTGTAAAAACTATGAAGCCACTTGGCAGATTAATAATCTAACATAATGAATACAAAGGTTAGTATAGTTGGTAAGGATTTGGCACATAACCCATAAGGTTATGAGATCAAATTCTATTACCAATGTAAAGACATTGTTGGTAAATGATTTATAAATACCTCTATAAAAGATCTTTGAATATAAAAACATGCCCTAGTCTTGGTGAGTCCTCATGACACAATTCACCTAAACTTTTCAGTATTAAAAAAGACCAACATATATAGTATTCTTCTATTAAAGATATTTTTCTTCATGTACCATTTTAGTTGGATTATTTTTAAAAAAAATTAAGGAAAAAAAGTGGGATTCTAACTTATGTGTGTAATGTTTCCTTATCAATTATTTTGGAAAAACAAAGGAATAACAAGTCAAATTTAAATGATGAACTTTGTCTCTAGAGAGAATATCAATGAAGGAACTCTAAAAGAATTTAATATCTAATAAGGATCTAGACGAATCGCATACATGTTAAAACACGAACATTACTTTTTAATTCTTAACATTTAATTGTCAACAGTCTTTTTATGAAATTAAATTGCTTTGAGATTCCTTTATTGATATTCTTCCTTGTCTATATCTATATTCCATTACCTAGGTGCAAAGCAGAGCATGGAAAATTCTAACAATTTTCAAAATAAAATATACAAGAAGTGAAATATGTTTCTTGGCTATAATCAATTATGATCTTTTTTCTAATAAAATGAATCATATTCCCAAGTATGTTGAATTAATAGGAAGGCTTATGTCTCATTTTAGTATGCAATTTCAATTATTCAGTTAACAATGATAATAATTTAAATGTAAATTCTTTAGAAATAATAATCTCTCTATCCTCAATTTATTAATGAATATTGAATATATAAATTAAAGTGCTGTAGTATTATCTTTAAAATCCATTTTTATTGTTATTCTGTATTGGACAATAGTGTTTTATTGCTTGAAAGAACATGGTCCTTTCACCAATCATCATCATCAATACTTACAAAAATTATATATAATCACATTATTCATGAACCAAAAATAAAATGACCGGTCTTAAGATCATGTAACAATCTAAACCCATATATGGTGAATATTTATTCATCCAATCCTTTATTAATATGTATATCCATACTAATAGACAATGTGAACGTTATTCAATCTATCAAATTATTTCATTATTGTGTGTAAAATTATTCCAGTATTCTATTAATCTATATATCCATTGTAATGGACAATACATTTATTTATGTAGTTATATATATATGTATGCATGCATGCATATTTGGATGGATGAATGCATCCATGTAGCTCCTTTCAAGGCTCCATCTTTGTCTTAATCCATGCTTCTCCTTTCTTCTTCTTCTGTAATCAAACCAAACATGGTTATTAAGTACATATACATGAACCTCTTGGTTTGCTATAAATAATAAATTCCACAACAAATCATACTATATTCATAAGTCATGACTCATGCAACTCTTAGGATTTGAATCTTGTGAGCAATCTAAATCCATTCACTTGAAGAGTGTTTTACATGGTATGTTAACAACTAAGGATTATTAGATTTTGTCATATAATACTAAAAACATACCAAAATCAAATTTTTGGAGGCAATGAGGATTTGTTCTAATTATCACGATTGTTTTGAATTTATATAGAGAAATGTCTTAATGATTTTCAATTATTGATAAAATTCAATGATTATAATTGAAAAACTTATTAAATAAGTGAATTTAATTCACTCAACCAATTCAAATCTAATTATTAATGTGACACTAGGTAATTAATTAAAGACATGCACATATAATAAACTTGCCTTGTTAGTGCTAGTGTCAGAGCCGCTATGGTTTTCTTTGTCCTCACTCTTCTTTATCTTCTTGTCAGTGTCAGTGCCACTATGGTTTGTTGTGTCCTCATTCTTTTTTGTCTTCTTGCCAGTGTCAGTGCCACTGTGATTTGATTTGTCCTCATTCTTTATCTTCTTGTCAATGTCAGTACTACTATTTGTCTTCTTCTTGCCATTTTCATGTTCAGTATCATTGTCACTGTTGTTATTACTACTGTAGCTGCCGAGGCTGTTGCCACCACTATTGAGGATGTCACTAGTCTTTTTTGCCATCTTTCTAATATCTTTGTTTATTAGTCTGCCTATCATTTCTATTGTTTTTCCTTTTCCTCCTCCCTTTTCCTTTTTTCAACTTCTTCCTTCTTCCTTCGTTCCTCCCTTTTCCTTTCTTTTCCTTCCTCTTTTCTTCCCTCCTTTTCCTTTCTTCTTCCTTGCTCCTTTCTTCCTCCCTTTTCCTTTCTTCTTCCTTCCTCCATTCTTCCTCCCTTTTCCTTTCTTCCTCCCTCCTCCTTTCTTCCTCCCTTTTCCTTTCTTCTTCTTCCTTCTTTCTTCGTTTCTCCTTTTTCCTTTCTTCTTCTTCCTTTATCCTTTTTTCCTCCATTTTCCTTTCTTCTTCCTTCTTCCTTTCTTCAACCCTTTTCATTTCTTCTTCTTCTTTCCTCCTTTGTTCCCTCCATTTCATTTCTAACTCCCTTCTCCTTTCTTCTTCTTCTTTCCTCCATTGTTCTCCCAATCTCCTTTCTAACTCCCTTCTCCTTTCTTCTTCTTCCTTCCTCCATTGTTCCCCCAATCTCCTATCTTCCTCCCTTCTCCTTTCTTCTTCTTCCTTCCTCCTTTCTTCCTTCCTTTTCCTTTCTTCTTCTTCCTTCTTCCTTCGTTTCTCCCTTTTCCTTTCTTCTTCTTCCTTTATCCTTTGTTCCTTCATTTTCCGTTCTTCTTCCTTCTTCCTTTCTTCAACCCTTTTCCTTTCTTCTTCTTCCTTCCTCCTTTGTTCCCTCCATTTCATTTCTAACTGCCTGCTCCTTTCTTCTTCTTCCTTCCTCCATTGTTCCCCCAAGCTACTTCTGAATTGCCTGCTCCTTTCTTCTTCTTCCTTCATCCATTGTTCCCTCACTCTCCTTTCTTCCTCCTCTCTCTTTGCTTCAAAGTCCTTCATCCATTGTGCCCTCCATCTTCTTTCTTCTTCTTCCTTTGATTCCCCTGCTCCCATGGTTTCCCCTTTTGAAAAATATATGTTTAAACTATCATTCTATGATTTCATTGAATGCCCTCTTTTGATCGCTTGGTCAATGGTGAGGATCCATGAAGCTCTTATTGTTACTTATATAGTGTCATGCATGCATGGTAATGGAATGTGGACTGTTCATACTAAATTTTTTTTTTCAAATTTATAGGTTTTATTTTATATTTATTAAAATAAAAATTATTAAAATTTAATAAATCTATCCTATCATTAGTTTGAACAATGTAGATTTAATTTAGATTGTCCAAATTAATATTAAATATTTTTTATTTTTATAAATTGACTTTTTGGAAATATTCAAAATAGTCTAGATTTGATATTAATTTTTTAGAATTTTTATAAATTTTTATTTGGGTAAACATAATATTCAAAATATAAAACTAAAATAATCTCCAAACTAAGACTTTAAACATTTTTACGAAAATGTTGTGAGTTGAACATTTTAAATTTTGACTGTATGTCTAGAGTATATCTGAATAATTAATTTATAATAATTATATAAAAAAATTTAATATTTAATTGGATCATTTAAATTAAATATGCATTGTTTAATCTGGATAGTCTAGATGCTCATCGAAACCAAACCCAATAATATTATTTGATCGCTTTATAGAAATTATAAAATAATTTTGGTGTGTTGGGTCAAAAATACTTGCAAATCATCTACCAACAAGGTTGTTACTTTGGTAGTGGAATTCAATCCCTTGTTGACCTTATGAGTCATGAGCTACATCCTTACCAACTAGCTAGACCAACCTTTATTTACTATATGGTTATATTCTTTTATTCTCTAAAACTTGGACAATGAATCATTATAAACATGTAAATCTATACCAATCGTATATCATAAATAATTAATTAGTTTGTTACTTTGCTAGAATTAACAATCTAGAAGTGATTTAAAATTTAGGAGAAGAAAATAAGGTTTGAAATATAATAGATTATAATTAATTAATTCATCACATTTATGAAATAATAAATTAATTAAGGATAAAAAATTATTTATTTTTATGCCAACATAAAAATTATGTATTCCAACTTAAAGGTTTGACAAGTTATAGAATTTTGAAGGTCAAGAGTTTTAGTAAAAATAAAAAAATTTTAAATTTTCAAATTCTTGGTCTTTTTTTTTTCCAGCTTATCATCAGGAGTTTGTGGAGTAAATACCATTTTTTTATTTTTTATATGCTAATATCTTCAAATATTTTCAGAAAGGAGCGTATGTTACAAAAATTAATTTTAAATTTTAAGATGTTAAATTATTTTTTATTTCACAAATTAATCAAGAATTAATATATGTATATAAATACGTAGGTATGAATGAATGATAAAGAATTAAAGATCATTATCTATGAGTATTAACACTTTTCAAAAATTAATGTTCAAGATAATCAAATTATATATGAATGTAACACTATTTGTTATTCCTAATAACCTTATTATAACCTTGTTTTAGGTTTTTTTTCCTGCACTGTTCCTGCGGTTTATTTGAAAATTTTAAAGCATTTTATGTAATTATTTTTCACTCCATAACTTATGTAGAGATTATTTTGTATTAACATAATTATTTTGTATCATGAGTTCTTGACGTAAATAATTTTGTTTCGTTTATGAAAATGTTTTTGTTATGTTATATAATTAAATAAATAAAAAATTTCATTATGCTTGTTCATAAATTAATCATGAATTTTGTATAAAAATATTAATCAAGAATTTCAGTTATATATATATATATACATACATATATATATATATATATATATATGTGTGCGCGCGCGCGCGTGTGTGTGCGCCAATAAGTATTAACAATTAGTTATGTGTCCCAATCCAACCAGACAATTGCACTCACCACTATTTATATGCCACAGTTGATTTTTTTTTTTAAAATGCTATTTAAGTTATTGTGTACTCATCAATAACTTAGAACTCCACAGCTAATAGTAGTGAGATTAATTTAAAAAAAAATATTAAGACTTGAATCTAATGCATTTATATATTTGAGATTGTTTAGAGATTCTAAATTAAATTTAAATCAATCTTGTGCATATCCTAATTTTCTTCTATCGTGCATTTCTTTAATTAATTGAATCCTCTTATGTCTTTCGCATTATTCAAATGTGAATATAACTCATGGCAATAGGCTTTTTGGTTGTTCATTACAAATATTAATTGGTTAATGTCAAATCGGTTCATATAAGTTCGTAATGGAGGGCTTGGCTTAAGGTTCGAGTGTGTCGATGCTTATCTAGACTTCGCCCTAACAAGCTAAAAAATAAGTAGGCCGACCTGTTTAAGTCATATATATATATATATGTATGCAGACGCACATAGATAGATAGATAGATATATATATATATATATATATAATTTATTAATATTTAAAAAATGAGAAGGGAGATAATCCAAATTTTGAGGGAAAAAAAGAGTAAAAATGTTAAAAAAGGAAACTGTAATGTAGTATTTTAATTGGTTAATATTTAATTATTTATGGTTTAATTTTTTTATTTTCATATATCTATTTTAAAGAAATTTTTTAAAAAACAATTCAAAGGGTTTGAGGCCCTTGGGATGACTCTAAACTGTTGAGCTTTGCAAGAAGTATGATTTTTGAGTAATTGAGCACTTTTGATTCGATTCTTTTAAACTCAGGCTAATTCCAATTCATTTACCTGCCTCTACTTACTAAGTTATAACAAGTTATATGAATAGATGTAGTTATAAAAATAATTGCAAATTATGTATCAACAAAATCATCACATGAAAAGAAAAGAATACATATATTAAGAGATCATTTTAAAATATATGAAGAGATAATAAGAATGTGTGAATTACCTTTCTATTCCATAGGAATTCATCAACTTTTCTCAAAAGCCATAGGTTCCATTTGGATTGCCATTAATTTTATTCTCTCTTTTAGATCTTCTAGCATTGTCTACTTTTTCCCTTGATATGTGTATCCTTCACATCAGTCTTAGGAGTTGGATTCCTTTTGTATGACATTATATAAATATTTTCTCCCTCTCAACACAATCAATTAATTTTCTTTTTGATTTGTTTAATTTTTCAACTACAACAAGAACCTCAAAATAAAAAGAAAACATCAATTTTGTGTGTAAAAATGAGTTATTACTCGAAGGTAAATGGATTAAAACAAATCTACAGCATATCATTTTATTGTTAGCAAGTTTCAACAAGAGAATAAAGAGATCCTTGAACATTAGTTGGAAATAACAATAAATAAATAAATAAATAGAATAATATGTGTAATAGATTTGTTTTTAATCCATTTACCATCAGGTAATAACACATTGTTACTCATAGATTTGGTGGTTCCTTTTTACAGCTCTAGTTGTAGTTAAAAAATTAAATAAATTAAACTCTTGTTATTTGTATTGTGTTCAAACTCTTATTTCGGTGGGAAATATAAAAAAGAATTGAAGATATAAAATTTTATAAGATCTTAGTTTTTCTTTTTGGAAAATATGCTTGACCTTTCTTTTTAAATGGGAATATGAATGTTCACATTTGTCACGCGAATGAGTTCCCTTCAAGATAGCCATTATTTTTGTCCACTCTTTCGTGAAGGGTGCACATCACAGAAGTCCTAAGAATTGCATATATGTTTTATACTTTTTTCTCCTTTCCCAAAAGAACCATTGACTCATCGTAAGTCACTTTTTATTTTAAGAAAAAAGTTGATGGAGCTTTTAAGTGACTTTCACATAAGATGAACTAATAATTATTTTTTTCTAATTTTATCTTAATATAATTTTTTTATGAGCATGATAAGTGTATCAAAATTGACACAAACAACTCATTTACTAAATTTATGCTTATGACACTATACATATTATGGCTAATAACTAAGATCTTGCCCTGAAAATGGTCCGTTGCAAATGAGGAGGTATTTGTTGTGATAACTGAACCACTACTTTACAAAGCCCACAGAAACAAGAGTTTGATTTATTTAATTTTTTAACTACAACTAAAGCTGTAAAAATGAATCACCAATTCTGTGTGTAACAATGGGTTATTACCTGATGGTAAATGGATTAAAAAACAAATCTATTACATATATTATTTCATTTATTTTATTGCTATTTCCAAATAATGTTAAATGATATCTTTATTTTCTAGTTGAAACTCACTAACAATAAAATGATATGTTATAGATTTGTTTTTAATCAATTTACCTTCATGTAATAACTCATTGTTATACACAACACAGAATTGGTGTTTCTTTTTTATTTTGAGGCTCTAGTTGTAGTTAAAAAATAAACAAATCAAAGAGAAAATTAATTGATTGTGTCAAGAGAGAAAAATTAATATTTTATATAATGTAATATAAAAGAAATCCAACTCCTAGGATTGATGTGAAGTACACACACATGAGGAGAAAAAGTAGAAAAATGTTAGAAGATTTGAAAAAGAGAATAAAATTAATGGCAATCCTAATGGAACCTATGACTTTTGAGAAAAGTTCAATTTCCATTGAAAAGAATGGTAATTCAGACATTCTTATTATCCCATCATATATTTTAAAACAATCTCTTGAAATATATATATATATATATATATATTTCTTTTCTTTTGATGTGATGTTTTGCTGATACATAATTTGCATCTATTTTTATAACTACGTTTATATATATATATATATATATATAACTTGTTATAACCTAGTGAGTAGGTGTGTGAAAATGAATCAGAATCAGTCTGAGTTTAAAAGAACCAAACCTAAAATATTCAATTACTCAAAAATCAAATATAGTTTGCAAAGTTCAATACATTAGAGTCATCAAAGACCTCAAAAAACCCTTTTAATTGTTTTAAAAAAATATTCCTTAAAATAAATATATGAAAGTAAAACAAATTAAATCATAAATAATTAAATATTAACTAATTAAATTACTAGATTAGGGTTTTCATTTTTAACATTATTACTCTTTTTTAAAAAATAATTTGGAATATCTCCCTCCTCATTTTTAAATATTAATAATTTTTAAATGTCTCTGTCTCTATGTGTTT